CCCGGACAGGCAGCCACTGTGTGCGCGGCAAACAGGAAGCGGGTTGGGCCGAGGCCTGCTAGGTAAATACGGGCTGGCCAGGGAAGGTGCCGGGCATGGCGTGACCGCCCCTGCCGGGGGCCTGGGAGCCGTGGGCAGCCTGGCAGGCAGCAGGGCTCCCCGCGCCGAGGCGCGGAGCTCCCAGCCAGCTGCTCCCAGCGGCTGCTCCGCGGTGGCTGCCAGGGTCCACCTCCCGGGCCGTGGCAGTCACATGCCTGCTGTCCCTGGGCCTTGGTTGTTTCGTTCATCCGTGCCCCGACGACACTAATAATACGCCGATGATGATGATGATGATGCCAGCAGCGGCCGTCCCTCACTGAGTGCACACTCCTCGCCCTGTGCTGGGCTCCGTGTTTTGCATGCTTTATCTCATGTAACCCTCATGACAGTCCCCTGGGGTAGGTGCTACAATCGTTGCCATTTTACAGGCGAGGAAACTGAGGCACAGGAAGGCCAGGTGGGGACTTACGCAGGGTCACGCAGCTGGTCCATCTCCAACGAGTCCCGGCTCTTCCCCTCCCCCACACCAGTGTTCCTCCAGCCCCTCCTCCCGCATTCCCTCCCAGGGTCCCCGCAGAGGCACAGGTCCCCGGCACACGCAGGCTCTAATCCGGCTTCCCCCTCTCTGGGACAGGGCAACCCCAGATGGCTGACTTTGCCTCTCTGAGCCTCGGTTTCCTCTCCTGGAAAGTGGGGGTTGGATGCTCGGGGTACTTTCTCTCCAGCACCGGCCAGCCTCAGGGTCCTGGTCCTCCCAGTCCCGACCCCACCCACTGGGCCCCGCCAAGAGTGACCTGGAACGGCTGGCACTCGCCGTTGTGCTTATTCGGGGGTGCGGCAGGAAGTGGGGGCCCACGGGTCGGCCCTGGAGCCCTGGCACGGGGGAGGGCGCACACTGGGTCCGTCTGGGAGCCCCGCACCCTCCCTGGGGGCTGCCTCCTCCACGTCGTCACCCCCCACCCGCCCAGCACCCCACTTTCCCTCCTTCCCGCCTTCCCTCTTCCTCCGTGCACCCCGCGCTTTCCCATCACACCTTCGTCCTCGCAGCCCCCTCTGTCCCCTCTCTGGTTCCAGGTCACCCCCCTCCTCGCAGCCCCTCCCTGTCCTCCGGGATTCTTGCCGCTCCCCCCACCCTGCCCCGGCTGCACCCGGAACTTGAGGTCCCTGGTCTTGTAGTCTAAGAAAACAAACATCCACTGATGTTGCCTTCTGGCTCTGCACTACGCTAACTGCTGGGGACAAGAGGGACACCAAGGAGTCCCTACCTGGTGGGACTAAAACTCTATAGGGAAGAAAGCAGACGAAGGACAGTGAGTCGGTGGCCAAGTGTAGCTAGGGGTGTCACAGAGGGTGGCCGGCGCTGCTCTGAGAGCGAGCAGCAAGGACGTCGGTTGAGACTGGGGGCAGGGGTGGGGGTGGCTCTCAGGGACGTGGGATGAGACCTGGGGGGAGGGGACAGCCAGTGAAGGACGGGCACTCGGGGCAGAGGGAACAGCCTTCGGCCTCCTAGACTGCGCGTTCTCTCCCGCCGTGCCCTGCAAACAGGCGGCGCTCATCTGATGCCTGTTGGAGTGAATTCATCTCAGAACAGAGGGAGCCGGAGAGATCGGCTCCCTGAAATCCTTCCCCCTGGGCTGGAGCAGCCCTGCACGCCCGAACTTGTCCCCAGGTTTAAGCCGCTTTGCTGGGTCACGTAATCAGGAGGACGGGATTTGATGGAGGTGCCAGGGTTTCCATGAGGTCAGGCGGAGCCTCGGGCGACCTCGAGCAGGGGCCCTTCTCCCACCCCTCACGAGTGGGGCAGGGGCTGGAGTCCGAGACCCTGCCCTGCGCCAGACACTTGCCTCAACTGATCCGCTGGCGACAACCCTGTTAAGAGCTCGGGCGCAGGCAACTTGCTCGGCTCACCCAGCTAACGAGCAGTGGCCCGGGACCAGCCCCTGGCGTGTCTGATGTCAAGTTCATACTGTTTCTAGCCCTGCTGGCTCTGGGGCCGTGACAGTAGAATGCAGGACCTTTGGCTGTGTCCCCAGAAGCCTGGGGACTGTGTCCAGGGCAGAGGGGACAGCTTGGTGGCCCTGGCTCAGCCCTGTCTGTGTCTCTTGACCCTGCTGAGGACCCCCACGCCCCTCACTCGGCCACTCCTGAGCCCTTCTGGTCTACATGGGTCTTAACACCGCCGCGCATGACCTTGTCTATACCGTGTCCCCACCGGCAGGCCAGCCAGGTTTTACCCGTTCTGTTGCCATGTGCCCGAGGTACCCAGCACGGGGCCTGGCACACAGTAGGCGCTCAGTAGGCATGCTTTGAGTGAGCGCAGCCGGGAAGCTGTTCTTGTGTGGGGACGGTCACCCTCATGCGTGGATGTCCTTGGTGGCACCTCAAGGACGTCCTTGGTGACCCCTAAGGTCACCTGGTGCCAGCGGGAGCTGCCTGCCACAGGGCCACTTGAGGCACGGAGTGGGGACCCACGGCAGGCTCGGTGCGTGCACGGAGAAGGGCAGGAGGACACGCACACGCAGGCACACTGGGGACAGACGCGCGGGGACTCAGCTAGGCCCGCTCCCCACCTGCGCCCCGCCTTCCCTCTGGAGCCTGGGCGGGTTTGGAATGTGTAATCACAGCCTCCGGGCAAATTAGAACAGGGAGTGAGCTCTCTCCCCGACCACAGGGAACAGGGCAGTGTTTTCAGAAGGGATTGCCACAGCGCTGGCTGTGCGTGCGTGTGTGTGCGTGTGCGTGCGTGTGCATGTGTGTGTGCGTGCGTGTGTACGTACATGCAAGCTGCTGTGCGCACACTCTTGGGTGGTGTGACGTGGAAGGAGCTTGGGCTTAGGAGTCCAGAGACTTTCTCCGAGGCCTTTTGCTCCCTGGGTGGCCTCTCGGAGCCTCAGTTTGCTCAGCTGCGAAACGGGAGCAGTAGGCTCGCTTTGCTCACCACGTTCCTGGGGATTAAATCCAGGCCGGGCCGGGAGGGGCCCGGTGGGTTTTAGCGTGGCTGTAAGATGCCAGGCTGCGGTCCTACTGTGTGTGTGCGTGTGGCGGGGCTAGGGGAGTGGGAGGACGGCGAAGTCGGGACCCAGTCGTGGCAGTGGTGGTGGTTAAACGCGGCAAGAACCAGCATTTATCAAGCGTGTATCGGGCGCCCAGGGGACACGCGACCTGCCTTGTCTCACACAGGCCCCACAAGGGCGGGGCTGTTTCTGCAGCCCCACTTCACGGGTCGAGAAACTGAGGCTCTGAGAGATCAGAGTGGGTCGACAGCGATGATTCTTACCTCCAGCGTGGCCGTGAAGCCCGAGCGGGCCGCCGCAAGGGCCTGGCGCGGGACGTGGCCCCACAACACGCGAGCCGGCAGCGTGGCCCCGGCTCTGCAGCTGACTGCCCGAATTTGAACCCTGCCCCTGTCACTAACCTGTGACCTCAGGCAAGTCACTTGCCCTCTCTGAGCCTCAGTTTCCTCATCTGTAAAATGGGGATGATAGCAGTGCCCAGCTCCAGAGCGGGGTTTCTCGACTCCAGCCCTACTGCCCTTTCGGGCTGGATCATTCTTGGCAGTGCGGGGCTGTCCTGTGCCTCGCAGGATGTTTGGTGTCATCCACGGCCTTGACCGACTAGGTGCCGGCAGCTCCCTCTCCTCCCCGTGTAGCTACGGCAACCAAACATGTTATCAGGTGTCAGCTGTCCCTGAGGGGCAGAATCAGCCCCCTTGAGAACCCCAGACTAAGGTCCCCGTGAGGACGGGACGAGCGTAACTGTGCAAAGCACTGAGCCCCGAGCGGGCGCAGTACTCGCTGCACGGTCATGGTGATTGTGGCGACTTATTTCATAATTATTATTCTAGCCTCATTAGAATGCTGACCTTGACTTGGTCAAGGCTACGCAGCAGCCACCGAGATTGCAAGTGGCTAAGAGGGGATTCGAACCCAGGGCTGGCCGACTCTAGACTCTGCCATTCTGAGGCCCCCAAAGCTGGGATGGCATCCAGGTTGGGGTTCCTTAGGAGAGGAGGTGCAGGCGTGGTGAGAGGGACCGCAGGGACCTCCCGGCTTCCTTCTCTGGCCTTGGGGTGAGGTGGGGGGTGTTCCGTTGGCCCCGAGGTGTGCCATGGTGGTGTCCCCGGTGTCAGGGTCCCCAGTGAGGCACACAGGGCTGTGGCTGGGAGAGCCCGGTCTGCTCCCTCTGTGCCTGGCCCTGCAGCCTCAGCACGCCCTGTTCCTGCAGAGCAGAGCCCAGGCTCACGGGGCAGCCACGAGGGGCTAGAGGATCCAGGTCCCCCTCTCCTACCTGGAGTGTGGACAGGACCCGATGTCCCCAGAAGTCCTACTAGGTGCTGGCACTGAGTGGTTGCCTCCCATACCTGAAGCCCCTAGGAGGAGGCGGGGTCACCCCAGATATTTTTTTTAGACAGAGTCTTGCTCTGTTGCCCAGGCTTGAGTGCTGTGGTGTCAGCCTCGCTCACAGCAACCTCAAACTCCTGGGCTCAAGCGATCCTCCTGCCTCAGCCTCCCGGGTAGCTGGGACTATAGGCACACGCCACCATGCCCAGCTAATTTTTTCTATTTTAGTAGAGACGGGGTCCCGCTCTTGCTCAGGCTGGTCTTGAACTCCTGACCTTGAACGATCCTCCCGCCTCGGCCTCCCAGAGTGCTAGGATTATAGGCGTGAGCCACCACGCCCGGCCAAGTCACCTCAGTTTTATAGGTGGCAAAACCAAGGCCCAGAGAGAAGTGATTTGCACAAACTCACAGCTGCCAATGCCCAGGGCCAAGAGAGGAGCCGGGTCTGATTTCCGAAGCCGTGCTCCTAACCCTTCCTTCCCCCCTGGGTTGCATAACTGACAGTCCCCAGCCTAATCCAGGGCCGGCCCCAATGTGTCTGGTCTCCTATACCGCTCCCTGCAACCTGGGGAAGAAGCTGCTGCCACTGCACCCATTTTGCAGAGGAGTAAACGGAGGCTCGGGGAGCTCGACTGACTTGGCTAAGGTCACATGACGTGTAAATAGCAGAGCTGGGATTAGAACCCAGGACTCAAGGCCTCCAAAGTCCAGGCTCTCCCTCCCCCCTGGTGTCCAGAGGGGAGCCAGCCCCTGGCAGGAGCTCTGACCGTCTGTGTGTCCTGTGGCACCCGCCAAGGGAGGCCTCTGGCCGTGTCCCCGCCTCTCTGGTCCAAGCCTTCCCGCCTGGCGGCCACAGAGCAAACAAGGTGGGAAGCAGAATATTTGTCCTTCTACGTATGTGTCCGGCGGGAGGGAGACACACAAGAGAGGGCTTTTCAGATGGCCCAGCCTCCTGGGAGCGCTGGCCGGAGTTCCAGGAACCTCGGCCCCGCCCGGCCGGCAGTGTGCCCCGCCCCGCCCGTGCCCTCGGTCCCGGCTAGGCCTGGTGCCCGGGAGCCCGAGAGTCCTGCTTCAAGTCCAGCTCTGCTCCCCGCAAGCTGTGTGACCGCCCCTCTCGGAGCCCAGTCTCCTCGCCTGAGCAGTGGGAACCAGTGACACTGTTGTCATCAGCTTGTCTGTTCGAGTGACACCCATCGAGGTGCCGGGCACCCAGAGGTGGAGGAGAAGATGGGTTTGCTACCTCCTGGTGTCCCTGCGCTCACAGCCTGGGAATGCCCCCTCCCCGGAACAACTGGGGTAAAACCTCCCCGGCGAGCAGCGTGGAGCCCGGCAGTGATTGTAGGAAGGTCAGGGAGGGCTTCCCGGAGGAAGGGACAATTGAGCTGGCCAAAGATGGGTGAACCAGGCAAAGAAGGGAGGCAAGGGGCCGGCACTTTGCACCGGGGAGCAGAGTTCGTGCACTGCGGGAAGTCCGCTAAAGTCCTGCAGCCTCAGTTTCCTGTTCTGTAAAATGGGGGCATACCGATGGTGTTAGATGAGGAAATTGAAGACTGGGGGCCCACACGGTAGGGCCACGCGTGTTTCTGAGCCCCTCCTGTGCCCAGAGCACGCGGAGAATGTTTCTGCTTGGCAGGTCCTGCTGTGCGCCAGGTGCGCGCGGCCCACGGCAGTGCGTGTTCTCTGCTCGCTTTCCCCACGAGGCGTAGGCATCCCCATTTTACAGATGGGGGGACTGAGGCTGTGAAATGTCACCTTGGCCAACATCATGCAGTGTGGAGCTAAGTGTGGAGCCTGGATTTGAACCCTGCTCTGTGGGGCTCCGAAGCTGGCTTGGTGGGTCAGGCCCTGGGCTCCAGGTTCGGGGTCCCAGTGTGACTGTGAGGCCCGTCCTTTTCCCGCTAATGCCCAGGGCAGCTGGACCCAAGGCCAGCTTGTGTTTCCACGTTCCTGAAAGAGGCCCCTGTTGCGGCTCCCGCCCGGGGCTGGCGGCCAACCACATCTGGGAGTGGCCACCCTGCACCCCTGTCATTACAACGGTGGCTTTGAAGCAGCTGGCAGCAGTGCTGCTTGTCCACGTGGGAGGGGGCTTCCTGGAGTCCCCGGCTCTGCCCAACTCCCTCTCGCTCCCTGCAGGCTGCGCAGCGCAGACGGGCATGGCGGAGCCCAGCGAGGGCCCCCACACGGGGCCCGGGGAGGCGGCTGAGCCCCCTGGGGACGAGAGCAGCACCCCCGGCGGGGAGGCCTTCCCCCTCTCCTCCCTGGCCAATCTGTTTGAGGGGGAGGACGGCTCTCCTTCGCCACCGGCCGATGCCGGTCGCCCAGCTGGCCCAGGTGATGGGCGACCAAACCTGCGCATGAAGTTCCAGGGCGCCTTCCGCAAGGGGGTGCCCAACCCCATCGACCTGCTGGAGTCCACCCTCTATGAGTCCTCGGTGGTGCCCGGGCCCAAGAAAGCACCCATGGACTCGCTCTTTGACTACGGCACCTATCGTCACCACCCCAGTGACAACAAGCGGTGGAGGAGGAAGGTCATAGAGTGAGTATTGCCGGCTGCCTGGCCAGTGGGCTCCCCTCTGTGCTGGATTCATCCATCCATCATCCATCCATCTACCCATCCATCATCCATGCATCCATCATCCACCCACCCATCCACCCACCCACCCATCCATCCATTCATCCATCCATCCATCCATCCATCCATCCATCCATCCATCCATCCATCCATCATCCACCCATCCATCTACCCATCCATCATCCATGCATCCATCATCCACCCACCATCCACCCACCCACCCATCCATCCATTCATTCCATCCATCCATCATCCATCCCATCCATCACCATCCATCCATCATCCACCCATTCATTACCCATCCATGCATCCATCATCCACCTACCCATCCATCATCCATCCATCCATCCACCCATCCATCCATCATCCATCCATCACCCACCATCCATCACCCATCCATCCACCCATCCACCCATCCATCCACCCATCCACCCATCCATCCCACCCACCAATCCATCCATTCACCACCCACCATCATCATCAACCCATCCATCATCATTCACCCAAAAATCTCCATCCCACCACTCAATCCATCCATCATCCACCCATCCATCCACCCATCCACACATCCATCCACCCACCCATCCATCCATTCACCCACCCATCCATCCATCATCCACCCATCCATCCATCATCCACCCATCCATCCATCCACCCACTCATCCATCCATCATCCACCCATCCATCCACCCACCCATCTACCCATCTGCCCACCCTTCCATAGGACACTTGTCTGTCCATCTATTTGTCTATACTCTATCCTTCCACTCATTTATACAATTGTTTACTCAACTAACTCTTCATTCATTCATCTGCTTTTTTAATCCACCTACCCTTATATACTCCCATCCATCCACTTGTCTGTCCATCCATCCACCCACACAGCCAACCATTTGTTCATTATCATCCGCTTATTTATATCTGTTTACCCTTCCATCCATCCATCTACCCATCTATCCATCCATCCACCCATCCACCCATCCTTCATCCATTCATTCATCATCCACATATCCTTTCATCCAGGGCCCCATCTTTCCACTTGCCCATCCAGTTGTCCCATCCATCCACCCATCATCCATGCACTGAAGTATCTACCCATCCATCCATCCGTCACCTGTCTGTCCAGCCATATGCCCGTACAGCCAACCTTCCATTCATCTCCCATTTACTCATCCACATGTCCACCCGTCCTCCCACCCACCCACTGTTTCTATTCATCCAGCCATTCAGCTGTCTGTGGAACTCTTTGTCATTCACTAATTCATTACATTTCTTGAGCAGATGAATAGTTGGATGGATGGATGGATGGATGGATGGATGGATGGGTAGATGGGTGGGTGGATGGATGGATGGATGGATGGGTAGATGGGTGGGTGGATGGATGGATGGATGGGTAGATGGGTGGGTGGATGGATGGATGGATGGATGGGAAGATGGGTGGGTGGATGGATGGGTGGATGGATGGATGGATGGATGGGTAGATGGGTGGGTGGATGGATGGATGGATGGATGGGTAGATGGGTGGGTGGATGGATGGATGTGTGGATGGGAGGATGATTGACTGTCTGAATGCTTGCCTGCCTTCTTTCTTTTCTTTCTTTCTCTCTTCTAACCACCAGTTCATTCATCCAGCTCTCTATTTGTTCATTCACTCATTTGTTTGCTTAGTCACTGACTCATTCACTCATTCACTCATCTTTTCACCCATTTTTCCATGTACTCATCCATCCCTCCCTCCATCCGTCTACCCTCTCCCGGAGTGCACCCAGCTGCCCCGCCTGGTCTTCTCCCAGCATCACCCTCATTCCTGGGCCTCCAGTGGCTCTCCTGGGGCAAAGAGAGAGTCGGAAGCCCCACGGCATTAACCCCTTCTCTCCCACAGAGGAGGCCTGGCTGAAAGAAAAAGGGAGTGGAGAGAAGCCCTGGAGACATGGGGTACCAGCATGTGGCCCCCTACGATGCCCAGCTGGGCACAGGGAGCCTCCACCTCTTGCGTGTGTATCTGTTTCCTTACTTTCTCTCTCTGCGCTGTGTCCTTCCTCCAGCTGCTCTGTGGCTCAGCATCACTCCGCACAGGCGCAGGCTCCGCACACACAGTAGGTGCTCATTGATAATGGTAAAATCGGCCAACATCTGTGGAGTGTTTACGGTGTGGTGGACGTTGGGCGAGTCCCTAGCAATTTGTCTAAAGCGTTTGTTGAATGACTAAGTTAATGAGCGAGCTGTGGATTGAATGGATGAGAGGCTTTGTCTTTTCATCGGCTGCTCCTTTGTTTTCTCTCTGTTTTGTCTCATTCAGTCTCTGTCTGCCTTAGCAAGTACTCAGTAAATGACTACTGGATGGATCAATGGGAAGATGGATGAGTGGATGGATGGATCGCTAGATGGATGGATGGGTGAATGGATGGGTATGCGGGTGGATGGATGGATGGGTAGATGGGTGAGTGTGGATGGACAGTTGGATGGATGGGTAGATGGGTGAGTGGATGGATGGATGGATGGACGAATAGTTGGGTGGATAAATGTATGGATGGATAGATGGGTGAGTGGATAAATGGGTAGTTGGGCGAGTAGATGGATGGATGAATGGATGAATGAATGAATGGATTGGTGAATGGTTGGTTGGTTGGATGGATGGATGGTGGGATGGATGGGTGGGTGGATGGATGGATGGATGGATGGATGGGTAGATGGGTGGGTGGATGGATGGATGGATGGGTAGATGGGTGGGTGGATGGATGGATGGATGGGTAGATGGTGGGTGGATGGGCTGGCTTGTGTATTTCTTTCTTTCTGTCTGTCTCTACCAATCATGCAGTAGGTACTAGCTTTAGTTTGTTGGATGGATAAAACATTCCTTGGTGTTCCAGCTGTCTCCCCACTCAGTCTGGGTCTTCCTAGGGCTTCAGCTGCCACCCCCCAATCCCTGGGACAGTGGGGCAGGCAAGAGACGAGCCCTCCCGTTACTTTGCTTCCCTACCCCCTCTAGGAAGCAGCCGCAGAGCCCCAAAGCCCCTGCCCCCCAGCCACCTCCCATCCTCAAAGTCTTCAACCGGCCCATCCTCTTTGACATCGTGTCCCGAGGCTCTACTGCTGACCTGGACGGGCTGCTCCCCTTCCTGCTCACCCACAAGAAGCGCCTGACTGACGAGGAGTTCCGGGGTAAGCCAGCCAGGCTGTCATAGCCAGTGGGCCAGCCAGAGGTTGGGGTGAGGCCTGGCGGTGGGGGACCCCTTTCCCCTCAGCATCTTCCCTGGGATCAGTAGATTGCATTGGCTTGGAAGAGCACTGGACAGGGAGTCTGGTCCTGTGTGTCCTTCACCACTTTACTTAACCTCTCTGGGCCTCAGCCTTCTCAGCTTATTCATTCCTTTCTCCAGCCCTTATTTATGAAAAGGTCAGTGACGTACGTAGTTAAGCAGAGTCCACCCACGTGGGTTCAGATCGCGTCTCCACCACTTAAGGGCTGTGTGGCCTCTCTGGATGCGGAGCTCCTGCTCCCTCTTGAGGAAAGGGTCTGGTGGGCTGGGCAGGGCATCGGGGTGGGATCCGGTGTCTGCCTCTTGGGGTCTGCCCGCCCCCAGCTTTAGGGCATCCTGGCTTTAGGCTTCCCCTCCCTGGGCTCCAGCCCTGTCCAGGCTCAGAACACGCGGCCCAGGGCGCCAGCACCCTCTGCTGCCCAGGCCTGGCCTGTCACTGGGCAAGGCGGCCTGCAAGCACCCCAGTGACCCCCCTCCCCCCCACTACGCACCTGGCGCCAGGTGAGCCGTGACCTGGCCACGTGATCTCACGCACCCTGTGCGATGCCAGCAGTCGTGGCCCACGCCTGTTGCAGAGAAGGGCCTGTCTCAGGGGGCGGGCCACAGTGGGCCACAGCTGGGGTCTGGGGGCGCTCCGGGGAGGTCGCGAGAGGCCATTCCTCGAGACCTCGGTTACTTTAAATGAAGTCCCCAAACAGGGTGACCAGATCCGTGGGCGCTGGTCCACACACACCTCCACCTACGTGATTCTCAGCACTGAAGCGACACAAGGCAGCGTCATTGTGTCTGTCGCTGGAAATGACTGGATTTATAAAAAATATCGGCTCCTGGTACCCAGCCAGATGCTGCTGCCTTATTTGGGGGGGGGTCAGGGTCCCCAAGCTTAGAGTTGTGGGGGGACCCTCTGTGCCCCAAGAGTGTTAATAACTCAGTGACAGCGTGAGTAATCTCATTTGGCCTGAGCCCACGTTTAAGCCCCAGCCGAGGGGCCCCTCCTGGTCCGCCCAGTGCGCTAGGCAAAAGCGGGGACCCCCGAGGCAGAGGAATCCCGAGAACTGGGTGGCAGCGCTGTGACGTCAGTGGGCCAAGCAGCGCTGGGCTGGGCTCGTCCGGGCTTCCCCAAGTTCAGGGTTAGGGGGCTCTTAGCCTAGTCCCGGAGCCCCCAGACGAGTGTGGGTGGGGGACCCTCAGATAGGCTTGGGCGGTGGGTCCCTCGAATTGTGGACACTGGTGCGTGTGTGTGGTGGAGATTTAGGGAGAAGCTGGGGGTGCCAGTGAAGCTTTAGGGCCCCTCGCTCGGGGTGCCCTGCTAAGGCCCTGGACCTGAGCCAGGTCCCCGGCCTGCACACCCCCTGCATGTTTTTCTGGCTAGAGGCTCATGAGCTCATACGATTCTGCAGGACCCCCCGGCACACCAGGCACACCTGGCAAAGTTTTGGCAGTGGTCCTTTTGGCAATTGTCAAAGGTCACGGCCCCCAAGGCCCCAGCCTTACTCTGCCCCCAGCAGGGCCACGTCGCCACCTGGTGGTCAGGACCTGGAACTGCGTGTCCCGCCGCAGCTCTGGGAAGAGGCTGCTCTTGGCATCTCATCCCAGCACCCCCTCCCCCCACCGGCTGGCAGCCCCAGCCCCGCCCCGCGGTGGCCCGTGTCTGAGGGTGCAGAAGCCCAAAGCCAGGGTCTGGTTCCACTTTGGGTTACCTGTGGCTTGGCATTACCTGGGATGCCCCATTCGCCTCTTCACTGAATGTTTATTAACTCAGCAAATGGTTACTGGGCACGTGCCAAGTGTCAGGCACTGTGCTCGGCGGGGGACGAACCATGGTGAGCGAGGCAGACACCACCCTGTCCCAAAGTTGCTCACAGCCTCCTGGGCGAGACTGGCGTTGACCAAGCGACCGCAGAAATAAGCACGCAGTTACAAACTGCAATGGGTGTCAGTAAGAGACCGTATCACAGGATTTGACCTGGTCAGGGAAGATCCGGGAGAGCTTCCTGGAGGAGGTGACACTTGAGCTGAGTCTGAATGAGTTGCAGTTACCCAGGTGCAAAAAGGAGGGTGAAGTGTTTCAGATCGGGGAGGGAGAGAAGGGACGGCATGTGCAAAGGCTCCGCGGCTCACCACGATGAGTGTTGCACTCTGAAGTGACCGTCCCAGCAGCTATACGGCAAGTGGGTGAAGGAAGGCCAGAGAGGCCGGGGGGGGGGGACACGAGGGAGGTGGCTTGGGCGTGGGAGAGAGACAGTGGGCTGGGCCGGGGTGGTGGCGGCAGAGATGGAGAGCTATGGGGGGATTGGGGAAAGAGGAAGAAAATCGATGGGGCATGATGGGGGCATGCGTGGGGTGGAAGAGGCAGGAGAGGGGACAAGTTGAGAAGGGGACACCAAGGCTTTTGGCTGGATGGGGACCGTCCTCTGGAAAGGGGACGTGGGCAGGCTGGGGTGGGTTTGGGAGGGCAAAGGTGCAAGTTGCCTGGCGATGAGCGAAACAGACAGACGCCACCTGCAGGCTAGAGCCGAGTGTGCGAGTGTCTCGGCCAGTGCCAGGCGGCCGGGCTGTCCCCACGCAAAGGGGACCTGCAGTCAGTTATTTGCTCAAAACATAGTGAGCTGGGGTCGCCTCTGGGCGGGCGGGTGTGCAGCAGGGAGCAGCGGCCCGAGGTGTGTCCGGGGACTGGGACTCGGTCCCCTGGCGTCTTCTCCCCTCACTCTGCATCCAGGGAGACCCCCCCCACCATGGAATGATAACCCCAACGGTGACATTCGTCGAGGACTCCTGTCTGCCCGGTACTGGGCCAATCACCAAATAATTGATTGGCTCATTGATTTCCCTTCGTGGCCTCAGTTTAGCCAGAAAGGAGGCGAAGCCGGGAAAGGGTCCCGCAGCTGTGGGGAGCGGAGCCGGGATTTGAACCCCAAGGCCCAGAGCGGGCACCCCAACCCCCACCTGCGTCTCCCACCCACCCTCTGGCCCTTCGAGCCTCCTGCGAGATTTCAATCTAATCGTTTCATCGACTTGCTCTTTTGATGTGTAAATCAACTCATGTGACCGTAAAAATGAGGAGAGGGAAAATGACAAAGCGACATTAGCAAGTGTCCGTGAGAGGTGTCAGGGACCCCCTAGTGCCACGTGGAGTCCTCAGGAGAGGATCTCACGATGGGTGAAACCTTCGATGTCGTTCTCAGCGTCCCTGGACCCCCGCGGTCCTCTCCCGGCCCCCTAAGGCAATGTCACATGGCTCGTGGACGCAGCCCACACTCTGGGGAACGCTGCACCCCTCTGTCCCCCCTCTGGGGTCACCAGTGTAAATCCCTCGTGGGAAAAGTCTTCTGCGTTCCCACAGGTGGGCAAACGCTGCCAGGCGTGTCTTGCTTTTAGAGGTTCACAGTCCCTGTTAGCACATTAAAGGCTCTGAGAAGTCCTGCAGTAAAGAAATACGATTGGCTTTGTTTAATCCAGCATCTCCTCCATTCATTTGATGACAAAGCCCTTTTAAAAAAATGCTTCCCAAATATGATTAATTAAAAAATTAACCAATCTGTAGGCTGTGACTTGCCACGTTTCAGAGTGCTTTTACCCGCCTGCGTTTATTTGACCTTGTCGCACGGGGGGAGGCAGCTAGAGTGGCCCACTGTGTCCCCACCGGACAGTCCCGGGAACAGGTCAGGGAGGAGGTGTGACAGCCAGGGCGGGACCCAGGGCTCTGTGCCCCGGCGCGCAGCGGTTGAGGGCCGCAGGCCGGCGCACCCCCATCCTGCGCGTCTGCCCCGCAGAGCCGTCCACGGGGAAGACCTGCCTGCCCAAGGCCCTGCTGAACCTGAGCAGCGGCCGCAACGACACCATCCCCGTGCTCCTGGACATCGCCGAGCGCACCGGCAACATGCGCGAGTTCATCAACTCGCCCTTCCGCGACATCTACTATCGAGGTGGGTGCCCCGGCCGGGCGGGGGGGACGGGGGGTGGAGGGGACGGGGGACCCCAGACGCCATCCTTGCTTATCTGACCCCTGAGAGTTTTGGTCTGCACCTCTAGTGCCAGCCTGCACCCAGGGGCCGGTTGTTGAATGAATGCATGCACGGGTGGACGGACGGACGGACAGACGGACGGATGGGGGAATAACTGCCCCTTCCAACTTTGATCTGAGTTTCTGAATCAAAGATCCTGAGATTCAGTGAGCCTAGTGATCCGTGAACTTGGGATTCTGGCCCTGATGAGTCCACCTGCCGGTAAGAGGCAAAGGTGACAGGAAGTGTAAGCCTCCCGGTTCCGGATTCTGAGATTCTATACATCGAAGTTGACCTTTCAGATTCCTGGATATTAGAATTCAAAGTTGGCTGGGCGTGGTGGCTCACGCCATTAATCCCAGCACTTTGGGAGGCCGAGGCGGGAGGATCGCTTGAGGCCAGGAGTGTGAGACCAGCCTGGGCAACACAGCAAGACCCCATCTCTACAAAAAAAATTTAAAAATTAGCCATACATGGTGGTACGCACCTGTCATCCCAGCTACTCTGGAGGCTGAGGCAGAGGAATCGCGTGAGCCCAGGAGTTCGAGGTCACAGCGAGCTAGGCTGACGCCACTGCGCTCCAGGCGGGGCAGTGGAGTGAGAGCCTGTATCAAAAACCCCAAAAGATTCAAAGTCCATGCATTTTGTATCCTGAGTCCGCCTCCCCCCACCCCAAGCCAGCCGTGCCAGGGCCCCGGTGACCCCGCCCCGCCCCGCCCGCCGCAGGTCAGACTGCCCTGCACATCGCCATCGAGCGCCGCTGCAAGCATTACGTGGAGCTGCTGGTGGCCCAGGGGGCCGACGTGCACGCCCAGGCCCGGGGCCGCTTCTTCCAGCCCCGGGATGAGGGCGGCTACTTCTACTTCGGTGAGGAGGGCCGGGCGGGCGCGGCAGGCAGGGGGGAGCTCGTGGAGGGAGACTCGGGGCACAGGTCGGCGGCCCTGGCAGCTGGCAGCTCCCTGGCAGCTCCCTGAGTGCCCAGAGCTGCGCCATGTGTGGGTCTCGCCTCTGGGGCGGGTGTGGAGTCAGGTCCTGGGTTCGAGTCCTCGCTCTGCTCCTCAGCCACGTGACCTCACCTCCCTGAGCCTCCGCTTCCCCATCTGTGTGTGCGTGGGGGCCGTGAGAGCCCCTCAGGCTGTGACGGGGCGGCCCTCCCGCCTGGCACCTGCTGTCTGCACCCGTCAGTCCCGCTTACGCCGGGGCCAGCGGTCGGGCCCCCGGGCCCAAGTCCCGTCACCGCCACGTGGCCACCGCGCGACCGGGGACATATTTTGAGTTGCACCCCTGCTTAATCAAAGGCACACAGTCGAGGGGCTCAGGGACAAAGCTGCACAAAGAGTTCCACCGCCCCATGTGTCCCCACCCTCACCGCCTCCAAACCGCAGAGCGGTGTCCCCACGTGGCGTCACCCACGGAAATGCGCAGTGGCCGCACGTGCATTCACGTGGACTGTCGTGGTGGCCGGGCGTGTCCCCCGAGCACCTGCACACGGGCCGCCCCTGTCCCCCCCTGACCTCCCGCCGTGCCCGCCCACAGGCGAGCTGCCCCTGTCGCTGGCCGCCTGCACCAACCAGCCCCACATCGTCAACTACCTGGCCGGGAACCCGCACAAGCAGGCGGACCTGCGGCGGCAGGACTCGCGCGGCAACACGGTGCTGCACGCGCTGGTGGCCATCGCCGACAACACCCGTGAGAACACCAAGTTCGTCACCAAGATGTACGACCTGCTGCTGCTCAAGTGCGCCCGCCTCTTCCCCGACAGCAACCTGGAGGCCGTGCTCAACAACGACGGCCTCTCGCCCCTCATGATGGCCGCCAAGACGGGCAAGATCGGGGTACGGAGGGCTGCGGGTGGCATTCGTGGTCGCTCATCTGTGCACTCCCCTCCCGTCGTGCCAGCCCAGCTCAAGAGCCTGCTGTGGCTCCCTAGTGCCCCGCCAAACCACTCAACCTCGTCCCCGGGCCTCTCGCCTCGTCCCACCCCAGTGAGACTCACCACTCCACCCCCTCCAGCTGGGCTAAGCCACCGATAGAAAACTGAGCCTCAGAGCTCGAGTCAGCAGTACTGCCAGCCCCTAACTGGCCGAGTGGCCTTGCACCCGCGCCGTCCCCTCTCGGGGCCTAGGGAAGGGTTTCTCAACGTGAGCACGACTGGCGTTTGGGACTGGTTGGGTCTGTGTGGCGGGGGTGCCCTGTGCATTGCAGGACACTGAGCTGGGTGCCTGACAGATGTCTCCAGACATTGCCAGATTGTCCTCTGGGGGCCACCGTTGCCCTGACCAAGAGCCCACCTTAGAGCGCCCTCGAGTCAGGAGGACCTGTCCCAGCCCCGGCTCTGCCGCTTTGCAGCACGTGACCTCAGGCATCTCACCTTCCCTCTCTGTGCCTCAATTTCCTTGTCTTAAGTGGGATAACAACAGTGCCCTCTCATATAGTGTTGTGACAATGAAATGAAGCGATCCACGTAAAGTGCTTAATAAAGAGGCCAGCGTAAGTAGTAAGTGCTCAGTTGAGTGGTAGGGATTTTTTTTCTCTATTAAAATGTAGCAAAACTAGCTGGGCGCAGTGGCGCATGCCTGTAGTCCCAGCGACTTGGGAGGCTGAGGCGGGAGGATCACTCGAGGCCAGGAGTTCAAAACCAGCCTCGGTGATAGAGTGAGACCCTGTCTCTAAAGAAATAGAAAAATAAAATACAGCAAAAGTTACTCAAGATACAGCAAAAGTTACTCAAATAGAAAAATAAAATACAGCAAAAAGTTACTCAAATACAGCAAAAGTTACTCAAGTTGCTTTAAAATACAGCAAAAGTTACCAGGGCCCTGAGGCATTGCTAAAGGTCTAGGTTTAAATTCTGACTTTGCCCTCCTTAAACCTCGTGGCCTGGGGCAATTCTCACTGCTAGGTGCTCAGCTTCCCTGTGTGGAAGCCACAGATAGCAGGCGTGGGGTGGGGAGGACCGCATGTGATCATTCGTGTTACAATTCACGGGTTATTAAGATCGATGCGTGGCCACTTGATCTACACAAAGAGGATATTCATTATGATTAAGATGTCGAAGGCTCGCCAGGTTCAGCCTGGTGCCAGCCGACTGGCTGTGTGGCTTCTGGAACACCCTGTGTTTCTCTGTACACCAAGCCGGCAAGAGCACGGACTAAACACGATGACATAAGGAAAGCGTTCAGCAAACAGTAGGTGCTCAGTAAGCCTCTCCTCTCCCTTCCATCCTGTTCTCTCCAGGGGCCCCCATTTGACGAGCTGTGCCCAGCCCCTGGGGTCCCTCCTGGGGTCCCCTGACCCTCCCTTCTTCCCGTACAGGTCTTCCAGCACATCATCCGGCGGGAGGTGACAGACGAGGACACTCGGCACCTGTCCCGCAAGTTCAAGGACTGGGCGTACGGGCCGGTGTACTCCTCGCTCTACGACCTGTCCTCCCTGGACACGTGCGGGGAAGAGGCCTCCGTGCTGGAGATCCTCGTGTACAACAGCAAGATCGAGGTGGGCGCAGGGGCGGGGGAGGAGGGAGCAGGTTTGGGGCCCTCGGCCCAGGTCGGGGAGCCCAGGGCTCTGGGGCCCAGGACGGTGGCTCTGTTGGCCGAGGGCAGGTGGGGAAACGGGCAAAGCCTGCGGGAAGATGGACTTCAAGGGGCAGGTAGAACTGGGCTGGTCTCCTGGCTCTGAAACGTACTTGCTGTGTGACCCAGGACAAGTGACTCTGCCTCTCTGGGCCTCAACTTCCTCGTTTGTAAACTGGGGTTAACGATCTTGCCCATCCCATAGGTTTGTTGGGAAGAGCAAAACGAATTAACTTTAGAACAGCCTGGCGCAGAGTAAACATCATGTGTCAGTTGCTATCAGTAGGGGTCATTATGTGAGGTTTTGAAAGCCCGTTTTTTTCCCCACTTAGCAGTATTTTGTGAACATCATTCTGCACCACTAAACGTTTTTCCACTGCTGCGTGTAAATGTGCCACGCGTGCTGACAAGTCACTCCTCTATTGTTTGGGCCTGTTTCTGCCTTTAACTATCAGAAATCACACTACAGTCGCATCTTGGTGGCCACATTTGTTGCACAAATCCTGCTTACGAAGAAACGCAAGTCACTAGAGGGCCGGGCGCTGCACAAATGGGGCAGACACAGGAGTGACGGCTGATAGGCGGTTTCCACGCCAGCTCTGCTCTGGGGCTTACTGCCTCTGTGCCCTTGACTCCCTTGCAGACCTCATTTCTGTCATCTTTGAGATTAATGACCAGCTTGAGTTAGATCAAGGGTGGCAGGAGGTTTAGCATCTCAGCTGCAAACCGACCGTTTGGTGGTGTTTACCCGGGAACCGTATGAGCTCTACTGTGCAGGGCTCAATTAGTAATGTCTGCCCTGGGTGGATTGGAGAAATGTGGCCAGTGCAGTCATTTATCTTCTTCAGGCCAAATTTCCTGATCCTTCTCCTTGAATCAGAACCTCCAAGGATGGAGCCCGGGAACTTATATTTTGAGCAAGCTACATAGGTGATTTTGCTGTCAGTAGCTTTGCTGGGTCCCATCCACAGACTAGAATTTGGGAACTATGAGAATAATTTTTTTTTTTTTTTTTTTGGAGACACAGTCTTGCTCTGTCATCTGGGCCAGAGTGCTGCGGCATCAGCCTAGCTCCCAGCAACCTCAAACTCCTGGGCTCGAGCAATCCTCCTGCCTCGGCCTCCCGAGTAGCTGGGACTATAGGCATGCGCCACCATGCCCGGCTAATTTGTTTTATTTTTAGTAGAGACGGGGTCTCGCTCTTGCTCAGTCTGGTCTTGAACTCCTGACCTCGAGCGATCCTCCCACCTTGGCCTCCCAGAGCACTAAGATTACAGGCATGAGCCAGAATAAATGTTTTTAAGTGGCTTTCCGGTTCTGGGTGCTATGATGCTAGCGTAGGGTAGAAGGGTAAGTTGAGGCAGAATCAGGCGGAGCATCCAGTGCTGAGCCGAGGGGTGTGGGGGCGATTCTCAGCATCCGTCCAGTCCCCTGTGGATCCGCAGCGCAGCTGGAGATGGGATGGGAGAGAAGCGCTCTCGGGCAGCAGGAGGGAAGGCGCACTGGAGTCGGCCTGCCGGGTCCCCCCCTCGGGAAAGGGCCCACCCCTGACCGCTGTGCCTCTCGCAGAACCGCCACGAGATGCTGGCCGTGGAGCCCATCAACGAACTCCTGCGGGACAAGTGGCGCAAGTTCGGGGCCGTCTCCTTCTACATCAACGTGGTCTCCTACCTGTGCGCCATGGTCATCTTCACCCTCACCGCCTACTACCAGCCGCTGGAGGGCACCGTGAGTGCCCGGGGCCCGGCGGGCGCTGGCTGGACTGCCCAGGCCTGGGGCGCAACCGCGTCCTCCTGGGTCCCCGTGGGAGGGACTGGAGAAGGCTTAGGAACGGGTTGGGGGGATGACCCCAACACCCGGGGTGGGGGGCTCGGAGCAGGAGGAAGAGAGTGAAGGAGGAAATGCCCCAGGATCCATCGGGTCGGGGTGTAGGGGGATGTCGGGATCTGGGGCAGATGTTGGGGGGGCTGGGTGAGGACCCGGGTGCCCCATGTCCCCAGCCGCCGTACCCTTACCGCACCACGGTGGACTACCTGAGGCTGGCTGGCGAGATCATCACACTCCTCACTGGGGTCCTTTTCTTCTTCACCAACGTGAGTGCCTGGCCCCCGTGCTCCCAGCCTGCCTGCCCTCCTCCCTCCTGCGGTCGCCCTTCTCCCCTCCTTCCGCCTTTCCTTCCCCCTTCTCTTCTTCTACCTCCTCCTCCAGCCCCGCACTCCCCTTCCCTGCTTGCGCCTCCCTTCCCAGCAGAAAAGAGTCTCTGTGCCAGACTCTGCCCTTCCTCCGCCTCCCCCCTCCTCCCCTCTACCTTCCTGCTGGCCCCACCCCTTCCACGTGCCTCGTCCCCCCTTCCAGATCAAAGACTTGTTCATGAAGAAGTGCCCTGGGGTGAACTCTCTCTTCATTGATGGCTCCTTCCAGCTGCTCTAGTGAGTACAGGCCCCTGGGCCAGCAGCTCCTGGGTAGGGAAGGCAGGGTTGGGCCGGTGGGTCACCCAGATTTGGTGGAGAGGTCACTTTAGGGGGCGGCTGGACAGACCCAAAGTCAGGACAAAGCCAAGGTCAAGCAGTAGGGCTTCTGGTTAAAGAAATATTCTGGTTGCTAGAGAGTTACCGTATACATCAGGGATAGAAGTAATTTTAACCTCTTCTACTGGGGATCGATCGTTAATGTCTGCCTAGAATGCCATGTTAAGAATTTGGAGGCTGTGTCTGTGTTTAATGGGAAAGTGCTGTGATTGATTGATGATGTCTGCCTAGGGCACAGGAACAGCGAGTGTATATGTATGCTACATCTTTTCCATTTCCTTTAGAGTTGGAGAACAATGATATTCACTTAGTCACAAAATCTCCACTCACTGTACAGCACTAAATCTTTTTCTGGCAATTCCAAAGGGCATCACTTTGGGTCTTGCAGGGCCTCAGGGCCATTATATGTACATTAATTGCCAGCTAACTAAACATTCTGGTTAACAGAATGCCAGGGAACCCCGATAATCTACGTTGTTTCTTTTCTGGGGGTCCAGAAGGCATCGGGATGCCCTGTTACCCTGGAGGGCCTGGGGCGTGTCTCCCCTGCAGGGTCTCACTGTCCCCTCTGCCCTCTCGTTGTGGTCTCTGTTGCCCTGTAGCTTCATCTACTCGGTGCTGGTGATCGTCTCCGCGGCCCTCTACCTGGCAGGGGTCGAGGCCTACCTGGCCGTGATGGTCTTTGCGCTGGTCCTGGGCTGGATGAACGCCCTTTACTTCACCCGCGGGCTCAAGCTGACGGGGACCTACAGCATCATGATCCAGAAGGTGCGGGCTGGGGGACTTCTGGACGTGTGTGTCCCTGGAGGGAGCCACGCACACCATGTGCACCCCTCCCGTGCCTGTGGACCTGGGGGCATGGGGCTGCATGAGGGCAGGGGGGACGGCCATCGGGGAGGGACCATGGTGTAGCCGGAACGAAAGTTTGGGGTTGGGGAGTGGGGAAGGCAGGAAACCAGTGTCTGTCACCTTTTTGCCTGGCGTCTTTAGATCCTCTTCAAAGACCTCTTCCGCTTCCTGCTCGTCTACTTGCTCTTCATGATCGGCTACGCTTCAGGTGAGCTCTAGGTGCCCGGGGGCTGGCGGGGTGGGGGCAGGGACCGGTACAGTAGCCATGATGCATGGGGGACCACAAGTTGTGCTGCCGAGTCCCACCGTGTGCCAGGCACTGGGCCATGTACTTTTTGTCCCTGCCTGCCAAAAGCCTGTGAGCCAACCGCCTCTGTTGTCCCCTTTCATAGATAAGGAAACTGAGTCTTAGAAAATTTAATTAACTTGTCCAAGTCCAAAAGCTAGCAAATGGTAAAACCGGCATATTTAGCTATCGTTGCGAAAGAAGCCACCCAAAACTTAGTGGATTAAAACACTGAGTGTTGGCCGGGCGCAGTGGCTCACGCCTGTAATCCTAGCACTCTGGGAGGCCGAGGCGGCCAGATTGCTTGAGGTCAGGAGTTCGAAACCAGCCTGAGCAAGAGCGAGACCCCGTCTCTACTATAAATAGAAAGAAATTAATTGGCCAACTATATATATATATATAAAATTAGCCGGGCATGGTGGCGCATGCCTGTAGTCCCAGCTACTCGGGAGGCTGAGGCAGGAGGATTGCTTGAGCCCAGGAGATTGAGGTTGCTGTGAGCTAGGCTGACGCCACGGCACTCACTCTAGCCTGGGCAACAAGCGAGACTCTGTCTCAAAAAAAAAAAAAAAAAAAAACAACACTGAGTGTTTATCATTTGCCTGTGAGTCTCTAGGTCAGCTTGGTGGCTGTGCTGATCTGGGCAGGTTGGAATGATCTCGGCGGGCTCCCGTGTGTGTGGTCAGCGGGTGGGCTGGCTGCCGGCTGCCTGGTCTCACTAGCACAGCCTTGGCTGGGCTCTCTTCCATGGGGCCACCCATCCTCCAGCCAGCTAGCCCGGGCTGGTTCACAGGGTCGTCTTAAGGTTCCAAGAATGGGAGTATCATGGCTTCACTGCTGCCTCACTCTGGTGGGTAAAGCAAGTCACGAGGCCCTAATTCGGAGGATGGGGGAATAGACTCCCCTTTTTGATGGGAAAAGCCTCGAAGCCACATTGAGGGGCGTGGACACACAGAAGGATGAGACTTAATAATTATTCTGCCAGCCCAGGTCGTTTCTTAAAGCCCAATATTGGCTCCGTGTGACATGCTTTCTCCACAATGTCGTGATGGCATTTGGGGACCTCGATGGCCTAGGTCATGGGGGAAGGACCGGGGCTGGGGAAACTGCCATCAAAGCCCAGTGTCCAAAGGGGAGTGGCCAACTCACGTTGGACCAGGTCACATTCACGTCTGAGCAGATTTATCTGGGGACCAGCCTGGCAGTAGGAATCTGGTGGTGGTTGTGTTTTCACCCATGACGGTGGCTGTGGCCAAGTCCCCATGTGGATTATTTTGGGGTAAGCAGAACTGTGGCCTTGGCTGGGGACACAGGGACAGGGTACAGCTTTTCCCTTCTAGGAGTAGGGCTGGGAAAAGTAAACAGAGTGTCAAGCACTCGATCAAAGTCTGGGATTCGGGTCCGGAGCCTAGCCCTCCTGCAGTCCTCATTATAGAAGGATCCCGGCCCTGAGGCTCACAGAGCATCAACAGGGCACGTGTGCTGCTGTTCCTCACTTTGGTGCGCATGGCAGACATTGCTAATGGATCACAGAACTATTCTTCCGATGAGTCCAGACAAAGTCTCAGAATCCTTCTCAACACGGTGTTCCAGCAGCCGCTGCACAATTGAGTAGCATTAGCATGTGAGCTGAAACCTGCTTACTCTAATTGCTGGGTGAAGGCACTTTGACATTCCGCACCAACTGCAGGAGGGTGCAGACTCCTCGTGCTCCCTGCCCTGCCCGGTTTAGGGACAGGTTGCTGCCGCAGAACCGGGTCGAGGGGAACTGCGAAGCTTCGCGTGGGCTTCATAGGAGAGGACAAGCACTGTGGTCAGTTCCAGATGCCCGGATGGGGAGAGGGTGCTTCGAGAGCACAGCTTTGGGGACAGTTGGGACCGGTGCCTGGTTTCGGCCGCCACCCTTCCTCTCTGGGTTGGTGTGGCCTGGGGGACGGGGGCACGAGAGAGAGCCAGCCCTGGGAATGCTGACATTTTAGTGCTCCGGGTCCCCTGAGAATGAGGCCACGTTGGGGCTTCTCAGCTTTGACACCGCTGACACCCGGGGCCAGATCGTGTCTTGTCGCGGGCGCTGTCCTGGGCGGCGTAGGGTGTTCAGCAGCAGCCCTGGCCTCCACCCCGAGTTGTGACCACCACACGTGTCGCCTGCAGACATTGCCAGATGTCCTCTGTCGGGGAGAATTGTCCCTGGTTGGAAACGGCTGGACTAGATCCCGCGGACCTCTTCCGATTTATCAGCAAGAGCGTGTGGAAAGGGCAAAGGCTTCGGAATCAGTGGGACCTGGGTCTGGCTCTTGGTTTGGGTGACCGTGGGCCCTGCTCTCCCCTCGCCAGGCCTCAGCTTTCCCCTCCATCAAATGGGGGCGCCGCACCTCCCTCTCAGCGTGCATCCTCCTACCCGGCCACTCAGCCACCCTGTCCCTCCCGCAGCCCTGGTGTCCCTCCTGAACCCGTGCGCCAACATGAAGGTGTGCAACGAGGACCAGACCAACTGCACGGTGCCCACCTACCCCTCGTGCCGCGACAGCGAGACCTTCAGCACCTTCCTCCTCGACCTCTTCAAGCTGACCATCGGCATAGGCGACCTGGAGATGCTGAGCAGCACCAAGTACCCGGTGGTCTTCATCGTCCTGCTCGTCACCTACATCATCCTCACCTTCGTGCTGCTCCTCAACATGCTCATCGCGCTCATGGGGGAGACGGTGGGCCAGGTGTCCAAGGAGAGCAAGCACATCTGGAAGCTGCAGGTGAGGCCCCAGGGCCCCCGTCCCCTCCCCGCCGGCCTCCCTCGGGCCTCCAAGGTTGGGGAGCTGGGGAGGCACCTCACCCAACTGGCCTCCCCAGCCTTCCTGCCTGGGCAAAACGCGCCATCTCACTCTGCCTCCACTTACCTGTCTGTAAAATGGGCATCGAAAGCTGCCACCTAGTGAACTTCAAGGTGGCTTCTTGCCTGACCACCCACAGTGGCCTCAGAGTCACCTGTGGTCCAGCTCACAGGATACAGCCGAGTCCGCCCAGCACGCCTGAGTGAGCTCTGTCGGCACAGGAAGTGCTCAGAGGGCATCAGCATTGGTTTTTTTTCTTGTTTTTTTTTTTTTTAGAAACAGGATCTTGCTCTGTTGCCCAGGCTGGAGTGCAGTGGCCCAGTCATAGCTCACTGTAACCTTGAACTCCTGGGCTCAAATGATCCTCCCGCCTGAGCCTCCCGAGTAGCTGTGACTACAGGGACATGGCGCCACCATGCCTGGCTAATTTATTTTTTGTAAAGATGGGGTCTGGCTCTTGCTCAGGCTGGGCTCCAACTCCTGGCCTCAAGCGATCCTCCCTCCTCGGCCTCCCAAAGTGCTAGAGTAACAGGCGTGAGCCACGGCACCCAGCTGGCATCAGCATTTCAGCAGGGGTCCCCCGCTGAGCCCAGGGGCAGCTTCTGTGACCTGGCATGGCTCCAGAGACGAGGTGGTGTGTGTGCCGGGGATGTCAGCATTCTCGCCGGGGCTTTTACGTGAGAACACGCTCGGTCACAGAGGAGAAGCTGATGTGGCCCGGACCTGCCGCCTTTGCTCCCCAAAAGCTTTCTCTGCAGTCCTGGGAAGCAGAGGCCCTTGGGGTCACAGCCGCCTGCCCCCGCTCCCAGGCCAGGTGCGGTTCTCAGTCAACAGAAGCGTCACGAGGCCCGGGAATGCGGCACCACCTTGACCTTGACTTGGCACATTTAAAGGAAATGGCACAGTGAGAAAGAAACCAGGACTGGTTGGGCCAGAGGGAAACGGCTCAGGCCTGCTCTTAACCTTTACGCACATACTGCCTGCTTCCCTGGGCCTCAGTTTCCCTCCTGGGCGCAACTCACAGGATGCACACTGGGCAGCCCGTGGACTGGATTCAACCAGCCAAGGTTTAATTTTTCTGGCCCACTATATTTTTAAAAAATGTAACGCAGGGCCCGCGTTCCTTCCTGGCGGCGCTCGGGTCAGGGTGGGGGGCGGGGGGAGGCGGCTGCCCCCTTCCCGGCATTTGCTCCCCGGCTCACCCCTCACCCCAGCGCTCCCCAGTGACCTGAGCCCGAGTGGCAGCTGCTGCCTGTGTGTCGTGGGGCCGTGGCCTTTCTGCCTCTGATCCTGCCTTGTCTGCTCCCTGCCCGCCGTATTCGAGTTTATCAGCCCGTTCCTAGGGGCAGTGGGAGCTGGAGAGCCCAGTTCTCTGTCCCCGCACCGGCCCGTCACCTCGCTTCCGCCATCAGGGAAGCAGGTGCGGGCTGGGAGGCTCACCGGTGTCCCCTCCCTGCCTGCCTGCAGTGGGCCACCACCATCCTGGACATCGAGCGCTCCTTCCCCGTGTTCCTGAGGAAGGCCTTCCGCTCCGGGGAGATGGTCACCGTGGGCAAGAGCTCGGACGGCACCCCGGACCGCAGGTGGTGCTTCAGGTGAGGCCAGCTGGGCAGGGCAGACCTGTCCCCGCCAGATCGGGGCTCTTGGTGCTCAGGTGTTTTCTCCCCGTTGCGATTTCCGGAGCCACCGAGGCCCCAGGCGGCCCGGCCAGAGTTCAGTTCCAGCCGGGGATCTTAGGCAAGCGGGTTCGTTCACCTCTCCGTCTCAGCTTGCTCACCCGTGCGGTGGGGAAGACACCAGCACCCGCTTCTGGGCCTGCCGTCGGGCCAGGTGGGGTGGCACCCGAGCAGTGCGCAGCCGCTGGGGCACCACCGGCCCCTCTGTCCCTCGCGCAGGGGGAGGCCCAGCCTTGGAGGCAAAGCTCATCTCAGAGCCTCACCCTCTATTGAGCAAACAGTGGGGTGGCCTCCAGTGCCTTGGCTGAAATGGGGAAACTGAGGAACCAGCAGCTTCCAGGGCTTGGGACCTTACCCAGCCCAGGATGCATGGCAGTGCCAGCTGCTTAGGGGACCTGCTTGGTGATTCTTTCCTTTTGAGCTGAATCGTTCTTTGTAAACTGGCTGCCAGCATAGAGTGTAGGCAGAATGTTCGGACTCAGGCCAAGTCCTCATCTGTGACATGGGGCCAATAGGGCCATGCACCTCCTAGGCCACCTGCCCAGTTCTGTTCAGGTTGAATCCAAAGTTCAAATCCTGACTCTGTAACGTACCAGCTTAGTGACCTTGGACAAACAGTTGGAAAAGCCTCAGATTCCCTGTCTGTAAAATGGGAATAGCAAGTGGATCTTTCTTGCTAAGTCCTGACGCATAGCGATCGCTCATAAAAAGGCTGTATGAAAATAACAAAAAATAATTTTTAAAAGCAGAACTTATTATGGTTGGGCACAGCTGCTCACGCCTGTAATCCATGCACTCTGGGAGGCTGAGGCAGGAGGATCTTGCTTGAGGCCAGGAGTTCAAGACCAGCCTGGGCAACACAGCAAGACCCTGTCTCTAAAGAAAATAAACACATTAAATTAGCTGGGTGTGGCAGTACACACCTGCAGTCTCAGCTACTCGGGGAGGCTGAGGCAGGAGGATCGCTTGAGCCCAGGAGTTGGAGGCTGCAGTGAGCTATGATGACACCACTGCATTTGCCTGGGCCACAGAGCGAGACCCTGTCTCAAAGAATGAATGAATGAATGAATGAATGAACGAACGAATAAATAATAAACAAAGCAAGCGGCAATTATATTGAGCCAATTTAGCCCCTAAAGGGCTGTAACCTGACTTTACCAGGGTATCCCAATAATGAAAAGTAAAAGTATCAAGAAAGGTGTCCAAGGATGGATGCATGGCTAAAGAAAACGTGGCATAACCATGCAATGGAATATTATCTGGCTACAAAGAGGAATGAAGTTCTCCTCCAGCTACGACAGGGACAGGGCTTGCAAACGTTATGCCAGAGATAACGGGCCCACGTTGCATGATTCCACTCGCGTTAGACGTCCAGAGGAGGCGACTCATCGAGACAGGGACGGTGGGAGGAGGGCGAGGGAGGCCTTGCTCACTGGGCGCGGAATCTGTATTTGGGGCAGTGGAGGAGTTTGGGAGGCGGATAGCGGTGACAACTGCGCGACACTGTGGCCGTACTTAATGCCGCCGAGTTGTGCACTTGGAAACGATTACAGGGGCAGATTTTGTGGTGTGCACTTTGCCATGATATAAACATAGGAGGAGGGGGCGCTGGGCGTGGGGGCGCAGGAGGGCCTCAAGTGGGGCCGGGGGCGCGTCTCTGTGTGGCCGCCCGACGCTCTGCTCCGGCCCCGCCAGGGTGGACGAGGTGAACTGGTCACACTGGAACCAGAACTTGGGCATCATCAACGAGGACCCCGGCAAGAGCGAGACCTACCAGTACTACGGCTTCTCGCACACCGTGGGCCGCCTCCGAAGGGGTGAGTGGAAGGACGCAGGCGGCAGGGGACACCCTTGTGGTGCATTGGCTGTGAGCAGCCTCCTGGGCCTCCACATACCCATCTGCGGAACGGGCGGGTTGGACGGGCCAGCCCCTGGGTTGACTTCGCAGCTTGTGAATGCCCGGGCCACCTCACCTTGATGGCTTCCCCCTGGCCTGCCACACCCCATGACAAGAAGAAGTGGCCTGGGGCGGGAGGGAGGACAAGATCCCAGGCCATCCCCAGGGGGGAGAGACTCCTGTTTTCCCGCTAAGCCTTGAGCACGCGAGACGCGAGATGCAGCGGGGAGGACACGGCTCTCGGGGTGTCCTGACCTGGCTCCTAGCTCCCCTGCAGATGGCGGCAGAGTGCCCAGAACACAGTAGGCGCTCAATGTATGTGCACTCTCTCCCCCCCCCCCGCCCCGCCCCGGCCGTGCAGACCGCTGGTCCTCCGTGGTGCCCCGCGTGGTGGAGCTGAACAAGAACTCCAGCCCCGACGAGGTGGTGGTGCCTCTCGACACCGTGGGGAAGCCCAGCTGCGACGGCCACCAGCAGAGTTACCCCCCGAAGTGGAGGACTGAGGACGCCCCCCTCTAGGGGCCGAGGGTGGGGCCCGTCCCCTCCACCCCTGCAATTCTGGCCTGTCTGCATTTCAGCGGCTCCCCCAGGCGACCCCCATGCCTTGCTTTGAGCCCAGAGGCGAGGGCCAGGAGGAGACGCCAGGGAGGCCCCAGGACCCTCTGGGCCCCAGGCTCCTGCCCCCAGCTCTGCGTCCCCACCCTGGGGTAGGGGCTCCCGGCCGCCTGTCTCACTCCCATGGAGTCACGTAAGCCAAAGTCGGGCCCTGCCCCGCGTCTCCACTATTTATTTGCTCTGCTCTCAGGACATGGGGTGACCCCCACCTGCCCCAGAGCCTGGCAGAGGCCGCGGGACTCCGTCCAGGTGCGCTGCCCTGCCGCCCGCCCAGCCTGCACCCAGGGTGGCCACGCCACCTCGTCCGCCCGCGGTGGGGCCTCGCCTTGTGTGTTCTGTAGAGTCTGGGATTCCTTGGTGCTCAATAAATGTTCATTGATTGCTGGTGGAGATGGTGGGGACCCCGTGGGGTGGGGTGATGGCGACAGGTGTGGGGACGACAGTGACAAGGGCAGAGCTAGGAGTAGGAGAGTGGGGCAGGGTGAGGAGGGGGAGCGGTCTGACCAGGTGGCACTTGGGGCGGACTGCAGTGGTGGTGGTGATGGTGGCCACGGTGGCCTGAGAGGGGGGAGTGACCCTGGGGAGGGCACGGATGCAGGGGTGGGGAGGAGAGCAGTGCATGGGCGGGGAATGATGCTGGGCAGGGAGTTGTGTCGATTCGATTCGGAGGTTCTGGAAGGGGCGATGCTGTGGCTGGGAGCGACAGCTGTGCAGCTGGGTGGGACGGAGCCGCCTTGGGTGTGGCTGAGCTCCCCGTCAGCAGCGCGTGCTGGGCGGGCTCAAGGGTCGCCATTGCGAGGACCAAGGTGGTGGAGGGAGGGGCATTGGCCGAGCTTGTGGGGCTGGGGTGGCCTGGGGCCGAGTGATGGGGACAGGGTCCCTGTGTGGCGGTCGGAAGGCAGGCCCCTTCCTTCCCGGCGGCCTCTGGCCCGCGTCACCCCGGTCACCCCCACTGCAGATCAACCTCTGCAGCCCCAGCTCCGCCCGCAGACACAGCCCGCTGCCTCCCCGGGCCAGGCGTCCCCCTCGATCCGCAGTCCCTGGGCCTGGCTTGGGCTGGGCTCTGTCCTTCTGGGGCTCCCCGGGGCAGAGTGGGGGCTCTCAGGGCAGCCGCAGTGGCACCGCACGGGCGTGGGGGCAGCAGGCCCCGCTCACACCCCGCATGAGAGTCTGTTCATCCCGTGAGCGGGAAGCGCTGGCTCACTGTGTTACCCGCGAAGTTGGGGGCGGGGACCCCACCTTCCCAAGGACCCCCCCCACGCCGCCTTCCACTCGACTCCATCCCCAGAGAGAGAGGCCTCCCCCCCCCAGGGGGGGTCCCCAGAGCCATCCTGATTGGACAGACTGGGTCACATCCGTGCCTGAGCCGGCCCCTGTGGCCAGGCGGCGGCTGCTCCGTGGCCCAGCATCGCAGAACCACAGGGCTCAGCCAGAGCGATGGTGGCAGCCGCCCCCTGGAGGCCGCATTCGAGTGCCTTACCCCCAGGCCCACTCCAGCAAGGACCAGCTACTGAGCCCAGGGGCCAGAGGAGGGCGCCTTCCCTTCGCTTCTGCTCCAGTTGAGGCGAACACGAGGTTATTTAAGTCGTTGGTGTCGGGCTCCTCCCCTGGGTTGGTCAGAAGACAGGATGGCTGGCCACCTGGATCTTTCCTTGCAGGTGGGCGCTAGGGACGGGGAGACGGCCCATTTTGCCTTGGTGCCCTTCACAGGCGGGCATGGTGAAGGGGAAACTATATATGTGGAGGAAGGTCCCAGAAAGCTCTGGGTTTGGAGTCCAGAGAGCTGGCTTCTAGCCTTGCCTCACGAACTGATCTTTTGGATATTTTGGGTTGGTCATAAAAGCTCTGAGCCTTAGTTTTCTCATCTGTAAAATGGGCACAGCATTTATGCCGATCAAGTGATTCCCTGGAGTGTGATTGTAGTGTTCACACACAGTTACGTGATTTGGGCCTCAAGTTACAGTACACAAACTGGCCAAAAGGAAAAGGAATATTTATTTTCTCAGAGAGCAGGACGTCCCAAGTTAGCCACGCATTTATCCCTTCAGCACCTGGGTGCTGGATTTCAACCACGTGTCAGGCACTTTGTGAAGCGATGGCCCCCTGGGTGGGCTGGTGTTTTCCTCACAAGGAAAGGACACAAGATGGCGCCATTGATCTGAGCACCATGTCCAGACTCAGCGTCATCTGGAGGAAGAGGGGACGATGGCTCTTGAGGGACGAAGCCCTTCCCTGGAGTCCCCCAACCGGCCTCCCTCCCCTCTTGTATTATTGGCCAGAATTATGTCAGGTATCCCATGCTTCAGCCAATGACCATGAGGAGGAAGGAAGTGACCCCAGCCAGGTCTGGGTTCTGTGAGAAAGAAGATGGAGGAATGGATGTCGCCTAGGCAACCAGTAGCATCTGTTAGGGTCCTTCGCACAGATGTCCACGCCGCACGTCAACATTGTCACCAGGAATGCCTGCGGCTCATTCTGGGGCCGTGAAGAGGTCACTTCTCTTTAGGGACCCGTGGGATGGGCCTGTCTACAAAAATCAAAACATCCTCCCAACTCGAAGGGACTCAGTAACTTCTTGAAGTGTTTAATTTACTTAGTTTCAATTTTTTATAATGAAATAATTTTGGCTACGAATTTTCCTATGAGAACAATTTTAGCCATGGAGTAAAATTTTCAGCTATGATTTTTCTGAATATCTGATGATTTGGGCATTCATTTATCTATGACTCAATAACCACGTGGGGGGATTTAAACATTTTCTCAAGTCGTTGAGATTTTCCGTTTGTTCCACTAAGATCTTAAAGATGACCTTTCCCAGTGTTCTTCCAAGGACTGTGGGACAGGTGCTGGTGGCATATAAAAATATTTTCATGTGACACATCAGAGAATCACATCAAACAAATTCTCTTTTCAATTGTCTGTGCTTCCTGATTATGTCAGGTCTCAGTTTAGTGGCCTGTTCAGGGTCACACGGCCACCTGGTGAGTGCAGATTTGAAGCCATGTGTGTGTGACTCCAATGACAACAAGCGACACCCCTGCCAAGACTTCTTGCCATCTCCCTCATCACAATTGCTCAGCTCTGCAGGAGGGCTTCCCTGTGCCTTTGAAGGGAGCTACTTCTAATAAATGATAAAAACCCACTTGCATTAATTGAACCTTTTTCAAAGGGCTTGATCTTACTGCTTCTACATGTCGCCTCATTTATGCCTCATGGTGATCCTGTAGAGTTGGTACGCCCCCAACAGGCTGGGCACGGTGGCTCATGCCTGTAATCCTAGCACTCTGGGAGGCTGAGGCAGAAGGATCGCTTGAGGTCAGGAGTTCAAGACCAGCCTGAGCAAAAGTGAGACACTCGTCTCTACAAAAAATACAAAAATTAGCCAGGCGCTATGGTGCATGCCTGTAGTCCCAGCTACTTGGTAGGCCGAGGCAAGAGGATCACTTGAGGCCAGAAGTGTGAGGCTACAGTGAGCTGTGATGACACTACTGTACTCTAGCCCAGGCAACAGAGCAAGACTCTGTCTCCAAACAAACAAACAAAAACCCACTCCCCCAACCCCTGTATTAGCCATAGTTTTCCGGTTGCATGCGACAGCAAGTCTTAGTCCATATGGGTTCACATTATTAGGAAAGACCAAGTGTGTCTGGCTTCAGGCATGGCTGGATCCAGGGGCTTGAAGGAAGCCATGAGGATTGAGTCTCTTATGTGCCTACCTTACAGCTCTGCCTCTCTTTGTGGCGGCTTCATTCTCAGCAGGCTCTCCCGAGGTGCCTGGAAGCTGCAGGCTGACGTACTTCCAACTCAGCCATCTTGTCCCCATTGTCCCAGCGCAAGTCCCAGGACTGACTCTCACTGGACCAGCTTGGGTCATGTGTCCACACCTGAACCCATCTCTGTGTCCAGGGACACACAACGCTCTGGTTGATGAGACTTGAGCTACCTGGCCACCTCTAGAGCTAGGGATGGAGTTAGCTTCTCCCAGACTGCAGGCAATGCCCCTGGGGACTGTTGGAATGTTGACACCTGTGCTAGATTGTGACAATGGCCCCAAGTCCCCCCATTCCTCTTTTTATCCATGCCTTTTGGGTAAAACTTTGTGAGATCCTCCCACCGTGGCCAGAGCATGATTTCTCACACCTGGCTTGACCATGTGACCTGTTTGACCAATGGGGTGTTAGCAGGCTTGCCTGGGCCCTCCCCTGGGCTTGATCATGTGACCTGTTTGACCAATGGGGCATTAGCAGGCCTGCCTGGGCCCTCCCCTGGGCTTGACCATGTGACCTGTTTGACCAATGGGGCATTAGCAGGCCTGCCTGGGCCCGCCCCTGGGCTTGACCATGTGACCTATTTGACCAATGGAGAGTTAGCAGGCCTGCCTGGGCCTGCCCCTGGGCTTGGTCATGTGACTGGTTTGACCAATGGGGCATTAGCAGGCCTGTCTGGGCCCGCCCCTGGGCTTGACCATGTACCTGTTTGACCAATGGGGCATTAGCAAGCCTGCCTGGACCCGCCCCTGGGCTTGATCATGTGACCTGTTTGACCAATGGGGCATTAGCAAGCCTGCCTGGGACCGCCCCTGGGCAAGAATGAGGGACGCGTGGAGCAGAGGCCAGTTGCTCCAGGTCAGAGGAACCCTGCAAATCCGTGAGAAATGAATGTTTGTGAATACCAACGATTTTTTTTTAAGTGCAAGCAGCAATAGCTGATGGATGATGCAGACACTGAAAGAAAGAGCCAGACCCCAAATACTAAATGTCCACTGCGTTCCGTATCACAGATGAGGACACTGAGGTTCAGAGGGGTCAAGACTCTTGCCTAGGGCACCAGGCTGGTAAGTGGTGGAGTTGGGATTTGAACCCACGCTGCCGAGAAAACCCTCCGGCCCTCAAGTGGCGAGAGGTGCGAGGCCAGGCTGCTCCTGCCGCGACGTCCCCGGCTGTCACCTGCCACTTTGACTAAGCCCCCAGGCCTGTCAGCGCTCGTTTAAAGTCCTCTCCCTTTGAACGTACCCTTAACTTTATTCCAACAAGGACTTATTATGTCTGTGTATGCGCATTTAATAATGATAAAGTACTTGTACGTCATATTTGACAGGAGGGCTTTTTTCCTCCCAAGTTTAAAGCACTATTGGGGAATAATTAGTGCTACCAGAAGCAAAAACAAAGGGACCCCATCAGAAAAGACAGTCTCCGAAACTCTGGGATCTTAATTGAACAATTACCTCTTATGCCTATGAATAGTTCATCATTGCGTGCCCTGTTATTATTAGCCGTTATTATTGCTGTAGATGAATGCTGAGGGTTTTGTTTTAATCAAAAGCCATACTCAGCGACACCGCGCGTCTCCCCCGAATGCACACTTCTGACATTTCCGCACGTGACAATGTC